TTAGTGTAGATCTCCCGTTATTGAATGTAAATAAAGTGTTGTTAATATCTTGGCTGTTATCTTATTTGGAAAGTAAATTCATAGCCGATAGAAGTCCGTATCAAGTCTCTTACCAACGACTATACAGTTGGTAAGAATAATCTACTTTGCAGTTTGCAAGTAGAACCGAACTCAAAGTAAAAGCCACATTTCTGCATTACAACACATTTTCTCAATTTGGGTCTTAATGAAACGCGATGTGAACAAACCAATACGACTCATAAAATTACTATCGACGTGTGTACTTTCCTAAAGGGCTTACCATATTCATAAACCCAATCAAATTTTAATCAGTAGCTTTGAAAGAATGGGAATGTTCTGGCTCATTTCCGACAGACGAACTTAGAAACTTGTATTTCTGTGTTTCTTTCAAGAAAAACTTGAATAGGGTTTTCAATAATGCATTTATCTTAGATATTGACATCAAATCGATTTTACAGTGATTAAAAACATCAACCTTGTCATTATAAACACAGACAAAGAATGACGTTTGTTCGATGGAACATACTGTTTATTCCTATACCAAGGTCCATACCAAGTTCTTACTTGAAAATTTTTTGAAAATTGAAGGATATTTTAGAAACTTCGGGATATTTTAGAAATTGAATGTTATTGTATAAACTATAGGTTTTTTTAAAAGAAATTGGACGATATTTTAGAAATAAAGACTATTTAGAATTAGAAAATGAAGGATATTTTAGAAAATGAAAGATACTTTAGAAATTGAAGGATATTTTATAAACAATTTGTGAGAATTGTGTATTCTTTAACATTTTGAATTGTCCAGGATAGCTATTGACTCAAAATATTTGCCTTTTCTGTTTTTACATATACTCATATCGATTTATGTTCGTGGTATTTTGTGACATTTCCAGGACGCATGTTTGTGTGTATTGACGAGAATTAATTGCAGGATTGTATGCGTTCAGTTTTGTTTTCTGATTTTCTTCTGAACGAGTCGTGGTCGTTGTTGCTAACCAGATAAAGTGTTTATGACTAATAACACAGTGCATTATATGGTAAGTCCGTTCAAAAAGTGCTTGAATATCGGATACTGAATAACTGAATGTAGTACTGATAATCAGCTGCGTTCCATTTCAATACAGAAAAATGCTGTCGTTATCGGCGGCAATGTTGATTCTTACGCTTTACGTTAAAAGCATGCATAGCCACATTTGGAGTAACATACAATTTAACTATCATTTTAATTTGACGATTATAAACACCTTCCATTGTGATAGTGTTATAGTATGCGCTACTCGTTGCTCTACTTTCTATCCTGTGATCGAGATGGCGGCAATCCAGGATAGTGTCTGTTACTGTCTGAATCCAAGTCCAACTCTTCCCGGTTTTGAAGAGCAGATCAATTTGCCATCTGTGTATTCTCGAACACCAGGTAAGTGCTATTCTGTTGAATAATAGGTTCACCATTTTCATGGTTCTGATTTGGCCAATGAAGAGGGAGGTCTTGACCTTTTTTCGATTTCCAATCGTCGATGAATTACATCTTCTAAATTTGGTCTACCAGCAAGATAAAGTCCAGACTGTCTTGCTATGAGTTTCTTCAGACAACTAACCTATTTCAGCCTGCGTCCCTATTGACTTCGACAAGGAATATTATTATATATATACACATCAGCTGAATTATCTTCAGTACAATACAATCCGGCCATCTCATGACAATCGATTTAATAATGAAAAGAGTATATTAATCAGTCTATCTAATATCGATGTTCGTTGTTTAGTTATCGGTAGATACCTTCGACACTGCTTCCTGTAAAGAGTTAACATGCTTCATTCTAAAAAAGAAAGTGACAATTATGATCTTTATCTGTTTGTTTGGCAAAAAAGTTGATGACTATACAGATAGACATATATCTGATGGTAAAGCATCTGTATTCTTTAAAAGGAAAATACGTTCATGATATCAGCTGGTAAAACATATATTTATCATATATTTGAAAGTTAAACTTCATTATCATTACTAGCTTCCCTGATGAAGATTATGTATCCGAATATTTTTTTTAAATATTTATTTTAGCCTAGTTAGAGCATGATAGCTTTAAACAAATTTGCTCTAACAATGTGAGATTTCTGTATTTCAGAAGTTTGTATATCGAAGGGTTACCAAAGTTTGCCTGATTTAGGAATCTGCGTTAAATATTTCACATTCAAAGCTAACTGGGGTAACGCTAAGGGCCACTGTAACCATGATGGCGGATATCTTATCAATTTAAACACAGATAAGAAGTATACTACAATAATGAAGATGACAGCGAATTCTGTAGGTAGGGATAACAATTGATTATACATGGAAATAAATGAAATGGAGTTGTGCATTATACTTTCCTGCTCCAGTATTGGACTTATGAAAACGGATAATGCCATACCATTTTCAGGTAGATTCTTGTAACGTACAAATCCTGTAACTTCCGATATAAATATCATCTTTTACTATGAACGTAATTTGTTCGTCGTTCGTGTCTGATCCAGGTGGGGGTTTATGAAAACAGATAATACTAGTATTGTATATTACGTTTCCAGATTTGCCCCACATTGGTGGATTTACAGACAGTTATCCTGATTTTAAATGGACGAGAGGTGGTTCTGTTGACCCTCAACAATGGGGCCAAGGTGAACCAAATGGTCATGGAACACAGAAGTGTCTGGCTATATCTCGAAGTGGTTTTATTGATATACCCTGTTATCGGAGTGATTACTTTATATGTGAAATTTCTTTCTAAAATTTTGGATAAACATGTGTCCATTATATTCTTTATACATACGTTAACATCTAATAATAACATAATAATTCTCACTGTTAAAATAGTACTCAAAACATCAATTAACACTGTTAAGTAGTTGATGCACCCAAAAAAAATCAATATTTTGAAAATGTGAATGGGTTCTCAATTTAATAATCTGTAATATTATCCTATATTATCTAACAAGCATCAATTCGGGCGGTAGATGACAAACTTCCAGCTAACTGATATCACAGACTAGGTATTTGTTGGTAGATGACAAGTTAACATTCATTTCCAGTTCACTGATATCGCAGACTAGGTAGTTATTGGTAGAGGACAAGTTAACATTCATTTCCAGTTCACTGATATCGCAGACTAGGTAGTTGTTGGCAGATGACAAGTTAACATTCATTTCCAGTTCACTGATATCACAGACTAGGTAGTTGTTGGCAGATGACAAGTTAACATTCGTTTCCAGTTCACTGATATCGCAGACTAGGTAGTTGTTGGTAGATGACAAGTTAACATTCGTTTCCAGTTCACTGATATCGCAGACTAGGTAGTTGTTGGTAGATGACAAGTTAACATTCGTTTCCAGTTCACTGACATCGCAGACTAGGTAGTTGTTGGTAGATGAGAAGTCAACTTTCATTTCCAGTTCACTGATATCACAGACTAGGTAGTTGTTGGTAGATGACAGGTTAACATTCATTTCCAGTTCACTGATATCGCAGACTAGGTAGTTGTTGGTAGATGACAGGTTAACATTCATTTCCAGTTCACTGATATCGCAGACTATGTATTTGTTGGTAGATGACAAGTTAACATTCGTTTCCAGTTCACTGATATCGCAGACTAGGTAGTTGTCGGTAGATGACAAGTTAACATCAGCTGCCAGCATCACAAACGGTATGCAATACTGCTTTCAAACAATTTCCTTAATATGTGGACTCCCTGAAAGAGATGCCGAGTGAACAAAACCAATACGACTGGGATAGTATTGCTATGTGTACTTTCCCAAGGAGATGTCAAGTTGACAACTCGATATTCTAAATAAACATATTAGCTGTGTGTACTTTCCGAAAGGGTTGTCATGTTGACAATCCCAGTGACATTATAGTATGAGTTGTTTTGGAAGAGTGGTCATGTCCTGGTTCAATTGCGACAGACGAAATCGAAAACTTTAATTACTATGTTCCTGCCAAGAAGAACATGAATCGGTTTTTCAATAATGCATTTAATCATAGAAATATAGACCTTAAATCGATTTTACTGACATTAAGCAAGTTCTTCTACCTGTTCATTATAAACACAGACAAACAATGACGTTTGTTCGATGGAACATACTGTTTATTCCTATACCAAGTTCACTATAACGTTCTCTCGAATAACTTACTTGGAGTATTTGTTTATAAAAGAAATGAAGTAACTGAGGGATTATTTTAAAAAGTAAGGATAGTATGGAAACTGAAGGATATTTTAGAAAGTGAAGGCTAATTCAGAAATTAAAGGAGCTTTTAGAAAGTGAATGCAACTTTAGAAAGTGAAGGATATTTTAGAATTAAAAGATATTTGTAGAAAGGGAAGGATGCTTTAGAAATTGAAGGGCGTGTATTTTAGAAACTAAATGATCACAGATAGTTATTTACTCTCTTGATATCGGACTATATTATTCTTTAACATCTTGAACGATCTTACATAACTAGCTATTGACTCATCCATTCAACAAACTTAGTATTTGTTCTTTCTGTTTCTGTATTATCTCATATCGACTTCTGCTCTTGGTACTTCAAGATCATTAATCAACAAAGAAGCCGTGTCATTTCGACCGTCTTGAACATAATATACGTATATCTTTGGACTTTTAACTGTGGGTTATGGTTTCGTGTCGGGTTGTTCTTGTAATGTAAGCATATCAGAAATATCCAAATTATTCCAGGACGTGTGTGTGTATTTGAGGACGAATAAGTTAAATAAATCAAAGGCTTTTATGCGTTCCGTTTCCAAACATTTTGGTGTTTTTCTACTGAACGAGTTGTGTTCATGATAGCAGGAAACTGAACACAGTGCATGTCATGACGAATCCGTTTTCGAAAACTGCTTGAATATCGGATAATAAATAACTGAATGTAGAACAGATAATTTAAACCTTGCGTTCCATTTCAATACCAAAATGCTGTCGTTATCGGTAGTAACGCTGATTCTTACCCCTTTGTTAAAAAGCGTACATTGCCATATTTGGAGTAACATACAATTAAATTATTCTGTTAATTTAACGATTATAAACACCTTCCATTGTGATAGTGTTATAGTATGCGCAACTCATTGCTCTTCTTTCTATCCTGTGATCGAGATGGCGGCAATCCAGGATAGTGTCTGTTACTGTCTGAATCCACAACCAACTCCCCCCGGTTTTGAAGAGCAGATCAATTTGCCATCTGTGTATATTCGAACACCAGGTAATTGCTATGCTTGATATATGGCACCATTTCTATGAAATACATAGCTGTTATGAGCAACGAAGAAAAGATTTCCAACTGACCTATTTCAGCCTGGGTCTCACTGAAGTTTGACAAGGAATATGATTATATATATAAACATCAGGTGAAGTGTCTCCAAGCAATACGTGGTTCCGGTCATCTCATAGCAATTGATTTTATTTTAAAAAAATAGTGTATAAATCAATCTATTATTGATATTCGTTGTTTGGTTAGTCTATAATCAATCAAAACATATCGGTAGATATCTTCTGACACAGCTTCCGGAAAAGTGTTAACACGTTCTCCAATTCCAAAAAGTTATTAAGTGCTTAAGATATTTCAGCTTTCTTAGCTCCGGGAAAATAGTGTTAACATGCTTAATTCTAAAAGGTGACAATTATGATCTTTATAAGATGGTTAGACAAACATTTATATCTGAAGTCCTATATTTGAAAGTTAAACTTCATTTCTATTACCAGCTTCCCTGATGAAGATTGTGAATTTGAAACACATGCAGACAACATGACAGGAGTTCCAGTTAATTGAACGACTGCATTTCTTTTAACAAATTTGCTCTAACAATGTGAGATTTCTGTATTTCAGAAGATTGTATATCGAAGGGTTACCAAAGTTTGCCTAATTTAGGAATCTGCGTGAAATATTTCACATTCAAAGCCACCTGGGCGGACGCTAAGGACCACTGTAACCAAGATGGCGGATATCTTATCAATTTAAACACAGATAAGAAGTATACTACAATAATGGAAATGACAACAGCGAATCCTGGAGGTAGGAATATCCATTGATTATACTTGTAAATAAATGAAATGGAGTTGTACATCATACTTGGGACTTTCCTGTTCCAGTATTGGGCTTATGAAAACATAAGGTCATATCGTGTTCAGGTAGATTCTTGTATCATACAAGGCCTGTAGCATCCGAATTGTACTGACTACTAGTATTGTATCTTTGATCACTTTTTTCCAGATTTGTATTACATTGGTGGATTTACAGACGGATATCCTGTAGATTTTAAATGGACGAAGGGTGGTTCTGTTGGTCTTCAGAATTGGTATCAAGGTGAACCAAATGGTAATGGAACAGAGAAGTGCATGGCTTTATATTATGGAAGTCGATGGGGTTTTATTGATCTTCCTTGTCTTTGGAGCCAACACTTTATATGTGAAATTTTGTTTTAATATTTTCGGTGACATGTGTACAATATAATATTTGCAAAAGTTATATTCTATCTTATTGGGAAGCTGAACTAAGAAACATAAAATTCAAATCGCTATCATTAACTTTCTGAAAGGAGTACCAAGGTGTTACGCCTTTATACAAAATATGTGCCATGTGTAGTATCTGAAAGTGGATACCAAGTTCAATCAATAGCTAGATATATAGATTATGAATGAATAAAAATAAAGAAAAATATCCTTGACCTACTTGCCCCTATCCCCCTCCTACAGCAATGTATTGGTGAATGCCTATTGCTCTATTCTCTGACAGGTGTGGCGACAGGCAGGGTATGATCACTCTTCTTAGAAATTGTTGTTATTCTTGTAAGATTTTTATCAAAAAGAAAGCCAAAATAACAAGCTGGTAGACAGGATCATCGTGAACCAAATTTCAAAGTTATATTTCTATACTCCATGGTGGCTCACTCATCTGTCTGAAGGGTGTGTATTCCAGGGTGCAGGAGGTGGCACACTGATGTTGGTGATAGAGGGGAAGGGCAGGGAGAGGGGTGTTACTACTGGCCTCAGAGTGAAATCAGTAAAACACTCACCCGCGATACCGCCCACTGTACATTTCATTCCAGACTTGGGCTCATTATTCATTTATGATCAAACAGGAATCAAGCGGGAATCTGTGGGTTGCTAAAGGGAATGAATATAATGGTGTTAAGTATTCTTGCCTGATGATTTTAAACATTTTAATTTGGGCGCCGTAAGCATTAAGAAATGAGATACATTCTTTGTTAAAATATTAAAATAATTGATTTAATTTTTCGGCATCTTTGACTAATAAATGTTTTGAAACACTACTTTCAGTGTTTTTACTACTGGTGTAAACTCCAGGGTTTAATTTACATTGTAACGTATTGGCCAAAATTAGAGTTTATCACGACGATCTTTAGATCACGGACTTCTGGCGTAGTGATTTTAATGGTGGTCAACTATGTTCGCGTCTATTATATAACGTTACTTCGTTCCTTAATATAATTTTCTTAATATATATTTTTGTTCCACTTGACGATCCATAGACAAACGCTGGTTCCGTTTTGGTTTCTTTATCATGAATGTACAAGTGGAGAATACTTCGATTGCCTATTAATATTATCTTTAATTACTAATGTACTTTTTTCGTCGATGTTTATGTATTAGTTTCGACGAGTCATTGTGTTTTAATACCAATGATGTTTAATTTTCATTCTCCATCAATGTTCGAATTTGAATTTAGATGAACAGTAAGAATTTATGTTTAGGTTCGTTGTGTTTCAATACAGACAGTTTTATTTTCATCAATGGTTATGTAGTGGCTTCAATGAGTCGTTGTGTTTAAATTTATATGAATGGAAAGCATTTATGTTCCGCTTTTCCACAATTCATTGTGTTTCAATACCGATACTTTTCAGTGATGTCAAATTTAATATATTTCTGTTCAAAGTTAAAATACTTAGAAAAAATTACGTTGATATTTACGTAGATATTTCATTGTAGAGTTGGGATTAATGTTTTGATTGCCATTTTAATTCAATATGAAAACGTTGTTTTGCTTGCAGTGATGTATTTAGATAAATGTTCCGGATTAGTGTTTCTTTGTTTTTGAGCTTCAAAATTGATTTTGTGTTAAATTAGAAAATGTCAACATTGATTTTTGATAAATTGTTATTAATTTCCCCGAGTTTCAATACGAACGCCGTGTTCTTTTCAGTGAAGTTCTACCTTAAATTTTGATCACCAGTGACTGACATTTGCCTTAAAATGGAAGCGTTATCGTTAAAAACCATATTACTAGGACTTATCCTACAGAGGGTTAACAGTGATTTTTGGAACATGAAATATTTGGAAGAATTTGTAACTTTGAAGATCGAGCAGATTTTCTATGCGAGAAGTTCTATCACTTGTGTGACCCATTGTGCTTCTGTGACAGACACCCTGGTCGAGATGGCGGTAGTCCAGGATGGCCTTTGTTATTGCCTGAATCCACGACCCAATATCTTCAACCAGCTGCGAACACCAGCAACCGTGTTCGCTCTTTCAAGAGGTAAGTTTTTTGTGCTTCGTTAGGGTTCTCTTGATACTTACTCACTTATGATTGATAAATATACTTGCTCATGTGAAAAGTTCATTAGCTGCTATCAATGTTTTGTCAGTATGTTGTTTGGATTTAGTTTTGCAGTTCGGATCGTTAGTACTTGTTTTATTTATTTATTGATAGAAGCTAAAGAGACGAAAATGAATCTAATAGAATGCCTTGACAGCAAACACAAAACAACAGAAGCAACAACCAAGCTTTCGCGATACCTTAATCAATTTTCTGGGCTATTGAATTGAAATGGAGTTTATGTCCTACTGTTCTGTATCTTTATTGGACTAATGAAATGAAATGCAGTTTTATATCCTACTGTTCTGTATCTTATTGGACTAATGAAATGTAGTTTTTATACGCCCACATCTCTCTGTGTGGACGTATATTGTCGGCACCCCTGTCCGTCCGTCTGTCAACATTTGCTTGTAAACGCTCTAAAAACTAGATTTTTTGATGGAATCAAATGAAATTCGGTATGTGTATACATATTCATAAAACGAAGATCAAGTTCGAATTTGAGCTATTTTCGACCTTTAGAAGCAGAGTTATTGCCCTTGCCCCAATATCTTGAATATTTACCATCCGCATGCCGTGGTGAGCGTGTATGGCTGTGGTCCACTATCTTATATCCTACTGTTCTGTATCTTATTGGACTAATGAAATGAAATGTAGTTTTATATCCTACTGTTCTGTATCTTATTGGACTAATGAAATGAAATGTAGTTTTACATCCTACTGTTCTGTACCTTATTGGACTAATGAAATGAAATGGAGTTTTATATCATACTGTTCTGTACCTTATTGGACTAATGAAATGAAATGGAGTTTTATATCATACTGTACTGTACCTTATTGGACTAATGAAATGAAATAGAGTTGTATATCCTACTGTTCTGTACCTTATTGGACTAATGAAATGAAATGTAGTTTTATATCCTACTGCTCTGTATCTTATTGGACTAATGAAATGAAATGTAGTTTTACATACTACTGTTCTGTACCTTATTGGACTAACGAAATGAAATGGAGTTTTACGTCTTATGTCCTACTTTAGAAAAATAACCAACATATTGGTGAATCTATTTTTCCAGAATCCGTCTGCAGATATAAAGGTTACGAAATTTTAACTAAATTAGGCATATGTATCAAGTATTCTAACATCTCAGTCAGATGGGATGACGCTCGTGGCCTATGTAACCAAGATGGCGGATATCTTATCAATTTAAACACAGCTGCGAAGGCCACCGCGATATTGAATATGTCTTTAGCTTATAACGTTGGTAGGTATCACATAATATGTTCATTCCTCTAGAACACATTGTAATCTGACTGGGTCGGGCACACAGCCATTTCGTCAAGCTAACAATATGATATATTGATTTGTCAACTTGAGTATTTTACATCCCTTTCAGAGTCCACATAGCTAATAATGTTAATATGATATATTAGTTTGTCACCCCCTTTCCACATGTTTATTTAAAATGCTGGTATAGCTATTAAAAAAAAGTACAAGCACGAAACGTCAATCAATTCTCTAAAGAAAGTTACAATCAGGTGTTTTGAAATGATTTGCTACTGTTTATTTGGAATTAAAGTTTGTGAACTCGACTTCCTCAAAGTCCACATAAATGATAATGTTTACTGGTAATATAATCGTAAACTCAACATCTTTTCCAATGAGACCACATAGCAAATAATGTCAGCTCGACATTCACAGAGTGTCCACACAATATTTTATTAACACTTCGCCACGATTATTTTTTGCAGATCTGATACATATAGGCGGTTATATGTCCATCTTTACAACGTGGTATAACTGGACAAGGGGTGGAGTGATTGATGGGCAGTTTTGGGCTGCTAGCGAACCTTCACCGCTGGTTCTAAAGGAATACTGCATGGCTATGTACAAGAAGGATGATATACTAGAGTTTGGTAACTTGGGTTGCTCTTTGAAAAGGCCATATTTATGCGAATTACTTCTTTAAATAAGGCTTTTGCTTTTATTGTGCTGTTGTATTACTAAATGTATGGTTGTATTACTAAATGTAATGTTGTATTACTTAAAAAAATGTTGTATTACTTAAAAAAAAATGTGTTGTATGACTTAAAAAATTGTTGTATTACTAACTGGAATGCTGTATTACTTAATGGGTCGTTGTACTAATACATGGGTCGTTGTATTACTAACTGGAATGTTGCATTACTTAATGGGTCGTTGTATTACTATATGGATCGTTATATAACTAAATGGGTCGTCGCATTACTATATGGATTTTTGTATTACTTAATGGGTCGTTGTATTACTATATGGATCGTTATATTACTAAATGGGTCGTTGCATTACTATATGGATTGTTGTATTACTAACTGGATTGTAGTATTACTTAATAGGTCGTTGTATTACTAAATGGATTGTTGTATTACTAAACGGATCTTTATATTACTAAATATATTTTTGCATTACTAAATAGATTGTTGTATTACTACGTCTTTCTATTTCTGAATTCGTGTTGTATCACTAGAGACGTTTAGAATAGTATTGGTGTAATTGTAAAGGTCAAGCTACTTGAAATGTATCATAACTTCACAGGTACTTTCGTCTTTAAAACCCATTAACCTTATAACTTGCTTCGGTCCTCCTATATTGTCAATTGTATCAGTACACAAAACGTTATAAATGTTATAATATCACTAATAGAGTTTATTAACTAAATATTTGAACTCTGCTTAATACAAATCGATCTCCGATTAAAATTTTTATTTGTAATAATTTTCTTCATAACAGGAAATGTGTTAATGACTTTAAATTGTTTTGCAAATAAAAATTAACTTTTAGATACAATCAATTTGTTGTGCGGTGAAATGAAAGAAAAACCATGGATTTTTAAAGTAAAGTAGCAGATAATTAGCAACATACTGAACAACCCTAGGATAACACTTGGCTCTTCATTAACCAATTAGGTGCAGAAAAGTAGGACGTAAAACTCCATTCATTTCATTTCCGTAGAAAAATGCGAAGCGTTACACTTATACAACGTTTTGAAACGTTTTGCTTTATTGGCCGAAGGGCTGGACCACAAACACCAGATTACAGTATGAAAGTATTGCTTATCTCCCTTGCATCCCTTTCATTAAATTCAGTACAATGTTTTGATGGTGAAATTGGTGAAGAGCCACCTCTTGAAGTCAAAATCGCAATTAATAGCAGAATTAGAATGTGCTATATGACTTATCGTTCAGTAGATAAAACCATAAAAACGTTACGTACAGTTACAGCAGTGAGGCTCACTCGGTAGACAAAACCATATAAACATTACCTAACGTTACAATAAGGCGACTCATTCAGTAAACAAAACTATAAAAACACCATGTAATGTTATAACAGGGCGACTCGTTCAGTAGACAAAACAATAAAAACACTACGTAACGTTATAACAGAGTGACTCGTTCAGTAGACGAAACAATAAAAACACTATGTAACGTTACAACAGAGTGACTCGTTCAGTAGACGAAACAATAAAAACACTACGTAACGTTATAACAGAGTGACTCGTTCAGTAGACAAAACAATAAAAACACTACGTAACGTTATAACAGGGCGACTCGTTCAGTAGACAAAACAATAAAAACACTACGTAACGTTACAACAGAGCGACTTGTTCAGTAGACGAAACAATAAAAACACCATGTAAAGTTATAACAGAGTGACACGTTCAGTAGATAAAACAATAAAAACACTATGTAATGTTATAACAGAGCGACTCGTTCAGTAGACAAACCATAAAACACTATGTAACGTTACAACAGAGCGACTAGTTCAGTAGACAAAACCATAAAACACTACGTAACGTTACAAGAGAGCTAGTCATTTCTTAACACCAATCTGTACTTTACAAATGTAGCATTTCTATAAAAGTCCACATTACAGTTAGCTTCTCCTTTTAATTCTTTGTTTATTTTCCTGCGGTACCACAATTCTAAACAGTCATACGCCAAGGGCTCAAACTCGTAATGGAATTTATTAGCAAATAACTGAGGTTTTGTAGTAAGTATTGGTAAATCTGCCATTCCAAAAATACAGATAGAACGATAGAGATGACCACTTCGACATCGCTTCGTGTTGTACCAAATCTTGTATCGGCTTAGCTCTTGTCTTTTATTGTCTTCAACATCTCCTGGAAAAATGTTTAACATTCACAGTTTTATAAAACAACGTTAACCTACGATTCCTCGCCAGAATATCAAAATACAATGCTTAAATAACTTGTGCAGTGCTAAACTTTGCTCCACATTGTGACAAAGGCCAGCACATCTCCTGAATTTAATTTCACATTCATTGTATTTAAAATTAAAAACTTCCTCTCTAAATAACAAAGAGCGAATAAGCGATGCTGAACTTTGTTGCACATTGTGACCAAGAGCTGCACATTGTTTTATTAAAATTGTTGACCTTGTAATGAAGGCTAGCCAAGAGATCTCCGTTCTGGACCCATACCACTGTCGGCACACTGTTTTATTAACAGTGATTGCAAAAATTAAATCGTGATTTGTAATCTTTGTTTGGTCAGCAGAATTAGGTTATTCGTCTGAGGTCTTGATAGTTTCCTTTCGACTTGCTGATCAAGGGGAACACGTGAAAACATAATGGAAACAATTATTACGATTCAGATGCCACAAACTTAAGAAACCTTACTTACCTATATAAGAACCAGGAACTTTTAAATGTGGATTATTGTTCAAAGACGTGAAAAAACTTTCATCTGGAACCGACATATTTTTACTCCATTTTAGAAAATCTTGGGCTGTTTGGTTAAATAAAACATAATGTATGAATGCTCGTGATGCTGTCATGTGGACAGATCCTTTACACACCTTGATGTTATGTGGTGGAGGGTTTTTAGGATCTACTCGGTTCGAATTTAATCTGAAAACAATGAAAATCAAATACTATACTGTACTAAATTCTGCTTCTGATGTTGCCTTCTGGGACAATGAGGATGGACCATGCCATGCAGTGCGCAATATGGAAGTGGCACCAGTTTAATCATTGTCGGAGAACTATTTATTATTGATAATGGTTAATCGATATACGTCAAATAACACGTATGGTCTATTTATGCATAATTACCACAGAATATTTTGACAGAAAAATCGAAGCTGATTGGAAAATGAGTTAAATTTTTGTGGATTTTCTTGTAAACGAAAGGTGGTTTTAAGGGTCATAAAGACATCGACAGTACATATCATACGAGAAAAATAGAAAACTCTTACATATTTGTTTGGCCAAGTATATCGTTAGCTCCCTGATAAGATTTCAGTATCTTGACTAATTCATAATTAGTTTTTAACGGAAATTCTTGTCCCGTCAAGTTGATATAATAACGCCATTTTGTTTTATGGGCGTATAATTCTCTTAGGCACACGATTTCTGGCTCTAAAACTGTAAACGTTCCCCAGCGGACGTCCACGTGTTTGGAGGCGATCCACACATTAGGGAGACAAGACACGATGGATTTTAAAGCCATGTAAAATTCTATGGACGATTTAGAGTCTATATGAATACAATGTACATTATGAGGTCTGTAAATGGCTCTAAGTAGTCGCTCAACTTGATCCAAATCCTTAAAAACCAAAATTCCGAACGCTATTGGGAAATCTTTTTCCTCTTGTGAACTGCTGTCTGTTATATACCCCATTTGTGAAGTAAATTTATCACAGTCTTTGGTTACATCGGCGTAAAAATCGTTCGACAAAAATTTTCTTTTCAATTCTTTTTTCTTTATTTCTTCGACAAAATGTTTATCAGATTTTTTTATCAGGGTATTACAAACTTCTTCAAATTTTAATCCCGTTTCATTGAAGGATTTCAGCCTAATAGTGCCCGGAACCTCAGAAATATTATGTCGAGCACCTTTCTGATAACCGTCAAAGCGTTGAAAATTGTCAAACTTGATAAAACCTTGTTTTGTGTCCAGGAGTTGGACTACATTGGAAGTAAATATATTCAGAGTCGCATAATACGTGACACAAACTAAAACCAGAAGTATCAAACCAAAACTCTTTTTCCATTTTCTGGCAAAACTTAGCGTCCATGGTGTAGACATCATGTGTGTAATCGTGAACCAGAGTCTGGAAAAGAAAGTGAAACGGTGCTTACGTACTACGTCTTTGAAGTCAGTTATACACAGTGTCAAGGCAACGGTGCCACTTCAGCAACGTTATGTGATATTCAGAGTTCTAAACGTCATTGTTAACCTTTGAAATAAACCTAAATAAAATTTTATAATCATCATCATCATCATCATCATCATTCTTGATAGATTTAATATCAAAAGGCATTATCATCATTATGTATGGAACTAAATATCAAATCGTATCATCATAATCAATATCATCATCATTGACATAATTATCATTAAATAAATATCAACTAAATACCCTCGACATCATCAAAATCAGAAGTCATTATCATCATGACGTATGAAACTTAGTATCAAAAGTCATCATCACCACCATCATCTTAATCATCATTAAATAAAAAGTACAAAAAAGTCATTATCATCGTCAGTATCATGAAGTATGAATGTAAGTATCATTAATCATCATCATCATTATCATCATTATCATCATGTATGAAACTTTAATAAAATATCATCATCATTATGTATTAAACTTATTAACTTACCGTATAATTAATATATTTAGAGACATAATTATTGCTGGTAAGAGATTATGTATTTCTAGCACATCCTTCCCGGCTTAAAGCATACATTTAATTTACTGTCCGACTTAAAGAATAAAAATCTAAAAAACAAATTTACGGTCCTTTCGAAGGTATAAAAACTTGTTTACTCACCTTCCTGATTTCAGACATAAAATACGAGTTTTCTTGCCGTCCTGCTCGAAACAAGAAATGACCAACTGCCAACAAGGAAATGGAAAAATGGTGATTGTAAATTATAATTTAATCTATTGTCATATTGATATTCAATTTCTAGAACATGTTAAAGTGAATAGGTAGATAAAATCTATTTTTATAACTGGGCTGTCGTGAGATAAGTTAGTTTTACCCTATTGATATGAAACACTCAACTAGGATTTCATATTGAGGGTCCTGTAAATTTTATCCTTCATGGCATGTTCACGTGTTAATTTGAAGTGTACATTTTTACTTTGCTCTTAACGATTTTGGATTTCATTGTTCACCCACGTGAGATGGTTAGTTTTACCCTACTGGTAGGGAAAACTCAACTCGGATTTAGTATTGAAATTATCATTAATTATCTAAGAAATTGTTTTGTTTATGGCAATCTGTTTTATTTTGAGTGTGAATTAGCCCATTTATTATGTGACCAGAGCCAGTTCTTAATTCTTAATAAACTAAGTAACGTCTCTTTAAGAATCCGTTCGAATAAAGAGTTATGTGTAAACCATTGTTAAATGTTGTTATTGGTATTTCAGTCAGCCCCTTGAGCTTAATGTTGTCTTTCAAAGTATACTTGTTGTTAATTGTTTCTTGTCACAAACAGAGTGGAAAAGAAAGGTCTTTTCTCGCGATATAACGACTCGTTTAATAGTCGATGAAAAACACTACCTAACGTAAAAACAGAGCGACTCGTTCAATAGGCGAAACAATAAAAACACTACGTAACGTTAGAACAGAGTGACTCGTTCGGTAGACAAAACAATAAAACACTACGTAACGTTACAACAGAGCGACTCGTTCAGTTGGCAAAACCGTAAAAACGGTATCTAACGTTACGACAGAGCGACTCGTTCAGTAGGCAAAACTACTAAAACGTGAAGTATTTGGCTAATACAAGTAGGACATCGTGAGTTCACACACGTAAATCGATATACGTCAATACCAGAAATGTTTCATATACATAAATATCACGCAATACACCTCTTTACACTAATCTGTACTTTTCAAACGTAAGACTTCTATAAAATTTCATGTTAAAGTTGATTTCTCCGTTCAATTCTTTGTTTATTTTTCTGCGGTACCACAATTCTAAACAGTCATACGCCAAAGGCTCAAACTCGTAATGGAATTTATTAGCAAATAACTGAGGTGTTGAAGTAAGTAATGGTAAATCTGCCATTCCAAAAATATAAAAATTTTGTGATAAAGATGACATAATTCCGAGCCGTACCAAACCTTATGATATTATGAGACTGACGATACTCATTTACAAAGGTATAAAGGTGTCTCTGATTGTCAGAAGTGGCGCGCATTGGCTGTTGTTCATATAGCTTGAAACGCCATCAGTATGAGACCGTGATATCAATCTCCTTAGAAAGTGAATAACCCGAGAGAGGTTAATCGATATACGTCAATACCAGAAATGTTTCATATACATAAATAAACGCAATACACCTCTTTACACTAATCTGTACTTTTAAAACGTAAGACTTCTATAAAATTTCATGTTAAAGTTGATTTCTCCGTTCAATTCTTTGTTTATTTTTCTGCGGTACCACAATTCTAAACAGTCATACGCCAAAGGCTCAAACTCGTAATGGAATTTATTAGCAAATAACTGAGGTGTTGAAGTAAGTAATGGTAAATCTGCCATTCCAAAAATATAAAAATTTTGTGATAAAGATGACATAATTCCGAGCCGTACCAAACCTTGTATCGGCTTAACTCTAGTCTTCTTTTGTCTTCGATATTTCCTGGAATGAGATTTTACCTTCAACATAAGGTCCATCGTCTCTTCGCCACAACCAAAATTTATACCGTGTTTCACGTCAGCAGGTAAATCTCGCAGTGAAGATCAAGGTAATGAATATTCATTATGTCACGTGATGGTGATGAATGGTAACCTGTGTTGAAGTCATAACTTTGTTTAAAGAAATGCAGCATATTCAGGCAAATGACAATGAAATGAATGGAGTTTTTTTACGTCCTACATTTCTACACCTAATGGGCTAATGAAGACGGGCAACGCCTTGCAGTGGAGAATGATGGAAATTTATCCAGAACAGCGGCAATGTTCCATTCGAAAGTCTAGAGGCTATTCATATCAGGACCTCCAACCTGCAAATCATCATTGTTTTATAATAATCTCATCATAATATTGTTTCGTTATTAACTTTCGTCGGTCTTCATTGGAATCTAAAGAGATTTATACTAAGAACGTTCATTTCCACCAATCACAGCGTGTCGGCTTGTCTAAATATCTACTATGAATTGTGGGATAGCGAAACCCCAAGAGCAATATGACCAATGATATTATGAGACTGACGATACTCATTTACAAAGGTATAAAGGTGTCTCTGATTGTCAGAAGTGGCGCGCATTGGCTGTTGTTCATATAGCTTGAAACGCCATCAGTATGAGACCGTGATATCAATCTCCTTAGAAAGTGAATAACCCAAGAGAGGTTAATCGATATACGTCAATACCAGAAATGTTTCATATACATAAATATCACATAATTTCTTTGAAGATAAATCGAAACTGATTTAGAATTGTAACATGAGCTCAGTTTTTATTAATTTCCAACTGTCTTTAATATCAAGTTTATGTGGGCGTATATTGCCGTCGCCACGTTCCCTCCGTCCGAACTGAATACAGGACAGTTTTATAAAAGTGGACGAATCAATACAGGGCAATTTTATAAGTGGACTACTGAATACAGGACAGGTTTATAAGTGGACGACTGAATACAGGACAGTTTTATAAGTGGACCACTGAATACAGGACAGTTTTATTAGTGGACCACTGAATACAGGACAGTTTTATTAGTGGACGACTGAATACAGGACAGTTTTATAAGTGGACGACTGAATACAGGACAGTTTTATAAGGAGACGACTGAATACAGGACAGTTTCATAAAAGTGGACGACTGAATACAGGACAGTTTTATAAGTGAACGACTGAATACAGGACAGTTTTATAAGTGGTCGACTGAATACAGGACAGTTTTATAAGTGAACGACTGAATACAGGACAGTTTTATAAGTGAACGACTGAATACGGGACAGTTTTATAAAAGTGGACGACTGAATACAGGACAGTTTTATAAGTGGACGACTGAATACAGGACAGCTTTATCAATGTGGACGACTGAATACAGGACAGTTTCATAAAATGGGCAACAGCTGAGCTCAAGTGTGAGTGGAAATCGACAGTACATGTTATCAGAGAAATATAGAAAACACTTACATACGTGTTTGGCCAAGTATATTGTTAGCTCCCTGATAGGATTTCAGTATCTTGACTAATTCATAATTAGTTTTTAACGGAAATTCTTGTCCTGTTAAGTTGATGTAATAACGCCATTTTGTTTTATGGGCGTATAGTTCTCTTAGGCACACGATTTCTGGCTCTAAAACTGTAAACGTTCCCCAGCGGACGTCCACGTGTTTGGAGGCGATCCACACATTAGGGAGACAAGACACGATGGATTTTAAAGCCATGTAAAATTCTATGGACGATTTAGAGTCTATATGAATACAATGTACATTATGAGGTCTGTAAATGGCTCTAAGTAGTCGCTCAACTTGATCCAAATCCTTAAAAACCAAAATTCCGAACGCTATTGGGAAATCTTTTTCCTCTTGTGAACTGCTGTCTGTTATATATCCCATTTGTGAAGTAAATTTATCACAGTCTTTGGTTACATTGGAATAAAACTCGTTCGACAAAATTTTTCTTTTTAATATTTTATCCTTTATTTTTTCGACAAACTTTAAATCAATCTGTTTCATCAAAGTATCACAAACTTGTTCAAATTTTAATCCACTTTCTTCAAACGATCCAAGTCTCACAAGATCTCGTAGCTCAGAAACATTCTTCTGTTTTCCGACAACACGTTAAAAAGGATCAAAATGGGTCGCATAGAGATTTGCAAACAAACTAGGGGTTTGAAAACTAAAAAAATTCATCGTCGCATAAAAAATTACACAGATTAAAACAATAAACATCAGATCAAAACCCCTTTTCCATTTTCTAGAAATAAAATTCGTTTTCTGATGAAAAATATTATATCTTCATCTTCACTATGCATGCAATAAAATATTAAATCGTATCGTCTTTATCATCATAGTGCATCTAACTCAATATCAAATGTCGACATCATTATCATCATCATTAAGTATAAAATGAAATATTAAATAAATCGGATCTTCATTATCATCGTCATCAAAATTATGCATGAAATTAGATATTAAATCGTATTGCCATTATCATCGACATCAAAATTATGAATGAAATGAAATATTAAATCGTATCGTCATTATTTATGCATGAAATGAAATATTACATCGTATCGTCATTATCGTCATTATTATGCATGAAATGAAATATTAAATCGTATCGTCATTATCGTCATTATTATGCATGAAATGAAATATTAAATCGTATCGTCATTATCGTCATTTATCGTCTTTATTATGCATGAAATGAAATATCAGTTAATATCGTCATTACCAAAATAATGTATGAAATAAAAACTTAATTAATGTCGCCATTATCATCATCATTATGACTATCATGTATAAAGCATTTTTAAACATTTTTATCATTATCATCATACATTAAACTGATTATTGAAAGTGATTTAATTATCACCATAACGTATGAAAGAAAAATATTACTTCGTATCGTCATCATCATCATAATCATTTCATTGGCCTCAGTATTATCATCATCATCATAAACTTACCGTACGATTAATCTATTCCAATGCATGATAAGAGAAATTGTTTGTTTTCCAAACTCACTAAAATCATTCCCAACTGCAGACAGCAAAGATAAAATCCTACGTTTCTTGCTCTCTGACTGAGAATGAAATTGATAAATTGCAATAAATCGATACGTCGATAGTAAGTAGGAACAGTTGCGCAAGCTGTGATCACCCAAGTCAATATTTCCTTGCCTTTTAATCTAGCAGTCCGGGGGGTCGATTACATCGTGCGCGGACATTACGCACCCAGATAATTCCCGCCCGGACACTTCCCGCCCAGCCAATTGCCATCAGGACATTTCGCACCAGGACTATTCACATCAGCACAACTTCCACCCGAGACATTTCGCACCCGGGCACTTTGCACCCTGGACAAATTCCACCTAGGACAATTTCCCACCGCGACATTTCGCATCCGGGCACTTTGCACCCAGGACAAATTCCACCTAGGAAAACTTCCACCCGAGACATTTCACACCCGGATACTTCACACCAGGACGATTCACATCCAGGAAAACTACCATCCGGAAATTTCGCACCCGGGCAGTTCGCACCCAATTTTTGCTCCCATTATAAAAATATTAAAAACAGAGGGCATGAATTGATAGAAGAAGAAAAAAGTTATGATTGTGGTAAATATTTGATGCGAAGAGCTTGTAATGGCTCTTTGGTGGCGTACATGTTTACTAACTAAATTGTTACTGTTTTCAGAATTTATCTTCAATATAGGCCTATGCCCTGTGCTATATTTTGTTTATTCGTCGGAAAAAAAAGTTCAAAGGATAAAGGAAAGTGAAATGTGCAGTATCCGTTTCTTCGTAGCCTTCTTCGCGGCCTTCTTCGCAGGGTTCTTCCAGGCAAGATGCAGGGTTCTTCGATCCTTTTTTAACGGTAAGTGTCACGAATATTCAGAGTTCCAAATTTTCAAGCCGGGGAAATCGTGCATGGAATTCAATAATAAGAATGATTAAATTCAATTAAAATATAATTGCAACTTATGACTCCGACACATAATTTCAAAAAATAGATTTGATTCTTTAATGAGAATTCAATAGTAATTACTTAACTATTAGAGACTATACAGATTTATAGTTTAATCTTCATTGTGCCTAAGAAAGCGTTTTTCCTTTATGTTAAATGTATTTTGGTGTGTAAAGAGGGACACTCTTTTGAAATAAACGTTAATTTCAATCTTTGAGATTGATTTCAGGTTTATTTTTAAAGTCTCAGCATAGTCAAAGCAGATTTTGCAAATTTGAAAAGTAGATAAATTCTCGCCAAAAGGTCCCAAACGGCAGCCAGTCATACTTTGAGGCAGATTATGGCCCATTTTAATACTTTTCGTTAAAACCCCATTGCACACAGTTAGTGTAAGAGATATTGGAGCGTAGTCACTTAGCAAAACTAATACCCTGAGGCCCGTTCCAGTAAAATTCGTAGGTACAAAATTATGCGGAACTTCCATAGATACCATAGCTTACCATGGCAACTACGCATGATTTTGTACTTACGAATTTTATTAGAATGGACCCCTTGTAGCATTGTTGTTTGTGTGAGAGACAGGAATGCGGTTCTTATGGGTGGAAATTGTCATGGGTGCTCTCTGTTTTTAATTTTTATAATGGGAGCAAAAATTGGGCGCGAACTGCCCGGGTGCGAAATTTCCGGATGGCAGTTTTCCTGGATGTGAATCGTCCTGGTGTGAAGTATCCGGATGTGAAGTGTCTCGGGTGGAAGTTTTCCTAGGTGGAATTTGTCCTGGGTGCAAAGTGCCCGGGTGCGAAATGTCGCGGTGGGAAATTGACCTAGGTGGAATTTGTCCTGGGTGCAAAGTGCCCGGGTGCGAAATGTCTAGGGTGGAAGTTGTCCTGATGTGAATAGTCCTGGTGCGAAATGTCCTGATGGCAATTGGCTGGGCGGGAAGTGTCCGGGCGGGAATTATCTGGGTGCGTAATGCATTACTAACGTCCGGGGGGTCGATTACATGCATAGATTCACACTGGTAAAAGGTAATTTAACCAATACCTAAGTACTTAACTAATGTCGGGGTGCAGAGAAGTGAATAAAAAAGAATCAATTTACTCTTTAAATTCGGTTTGTAAACCCGGGTCCACGTGACCGACACCTGTGCAAAGTTGTCCCGGTGTTCGCCAAAAGCAGAACATAAAACAAAATACACATTTGGCCTGGTGATGTGACACAAATAAATGATTACTATGACGGATGTCGTTTATGACCATGATCATGTTTTTTTCTCCCAAACCACCTCCCAGTCCCATGGTATATCACCTCGACTTCCTACCATATTTTCGGAGGTAATTTTCAATTTAATGATTACTAATATATTCATACAATTAAGCAAACGAATTTACATATTGAAAATAAAATCGAAATTATCAATGAAACTTAGTCTGGTTTCCAACTTTTGACGAATGACTTCTTAAAGGGGAATATCCTAAAATTCAACACAGGTGGCATTTCCATTTCCACCTCCCCTAATCCTCCAGGTACTATTCTGATATTGAAGCATAGATGCTACATCTCAAGATCCCCCTATCAGTAAAGGAAATAGCCGTTTAAATATTGTCAAAGATCATTATTCTTACAAATGGCTTCTCCTTTTCTTCAATATACAAGAAAATCATCTCAATTAAAAGATTTTATTGTCGACATCTCGATATAACTGTCACCCACAATAATTCTGTATATTTTAACTGATAAGCTCAACAACGAGTTTACTCCATCATAATAACATTAACAGTTCTGTAGCTCTAGTGCCACTGTCCTGTCAAAATGTCCATCATTGTACACTGCATGGTGTTCCCTGTCTTTATTAGCTCGATCAGGTGCTGCAAAGTAGGGCGTAAAACTCTAAATGATCATAACAAACTTCGGTAGTTCCGATATGTTTACATTTTATGAATCATTCATTTTTATTAGCACAGTTACTTCCCTTGGCGTGAAATCGGTTCAATAGTTTGTTGTGTGTGTTTTTTTTTTTTTAATTTTTCTTTAAATGTAGATTCATTGAAGTCGCTTTTTTAATCAAATGAGCCAGATACATCTAATTCTGATTAAGGTTGGGACACGTTGAATGTTTTCAGGGTTCATAGAGCACTTTGCCTCAAAAATTCAAAGACTTTTCAAGGACTCTGGGCTTTGAAATTCAAGGACTTTTCAAGGATATTAGTCTGACAGAATACACATGTACTGAACTTCTGAACTGTGAAATCAATAAAGATAGTTAATATTTGTCAATGGGGTTAATGATAAAAATATACACAATTTGACTCTACTCAAAATTCAAGGACTTTTCAAGAGAAAATGGGTTTTTTATGGTGTTTTCAAAGACTTTTTTTGAAATCAAGGTTTTTCAAGGCAACGGACGGAATTCAAGGGTTTTTCAAAACTGTGCGAACCCTGCTTTTTATTATTATTATTATTTGTTCACCATTGCTTAAAACTAGGTCACAATACACTTCAAGGGAAGTAACTCGTCTCAAACATTATTTGTTAAGTCAAAGTCGGTCGTCGTGAGAATCAATTCTTATCTTATCTCGAAGGAAATCCGACGTATCGGAAGGAAACTTAATCATGCCATGGGTCTGTTCAGAATTATTAAGAGTCTTCGTGGGTAGCAATGTCCATCTGGTATTTACTAGGTTTGTCAACTTGATATCTGTTTCAGAGAGTTCACATAGCCAATGATATTTAGGTTGGTAAACTATGCAGAGGTTATAATGATTACTGTTCTATTTGGGTTTATTTATAATAGAGTTCAAGTTACAAATAACGTTTTATTTGGAATCGGGCATGTCAACTCAGCAGCATTTTCAGAGAGTCTACAAAGCTAATAATGTTTTTTAGTGTTAAGGTTCCTAAACTAAGTATCCCTTCAAGATCTAGTAATGATTGCTATATATTTGGGATTATCTATAACAGAGTTCACTACATTGTATATGGAATTGGGCCTTTCAACACAGCATCATTTAATAATGTTAAATTGTGTAATATATTGACTATAACGAATGAGATACCGCATGAAAAATGGCTAAAGTGAAGTTCGATGTAAATAGGAAGTAAGCGGCCAGTCGGAAACGATGATTAATAAGAGACTATATATATAGGGTTATTACGTGCTAGTTAGAGTAATATATCATATAAACAGGATCTTCAATATGGCAGGTCGGTCTTAACTTTACCAGTATTAGTTGATAATTTCGAAGCTAAAGGAATAGACTGATTGGGTTAGTGAGGGCGAGGGCAATCTCACGTTGTATGCTATGAGAGATAATGTACCATAATCATACTCATTTTCAACGATCGAGGGATCTTTCACGTACATAGCCTGGGTTAGTGTGGGCAACAGCAAATACTGTACAATGAAGGAAGTATAGGCAGTATAGCCCATTTTTGCGATTTTTCACTGACGAGACAATTTTCAAGTGCCTTTAACTGGCGGTTAAAGTTCCACCAAAATGACTAAACGCTTTTTCCAGCCCCACCAAAGACAATGGGAAACTATGTTAAGAAAATGACCATAAAGGGGACGATTATGTTAATCCATCACCACAATTGAAAGTCGTATAAATTCTCTGCGTCAAGTTCATGTTATATGATTTTTCAGGTATTATTGGATGCATTGTTGTGTTTACAGCAACCTTTTTACTACCCAGTCTAGTTGTAACATCCTCGTGTCACCCGCGAATCGTTACTTGTAGATGTGGAAAAACGACAGTGGATATTCATATTAAAAGGTAATTTTCAATTTGACTCGAGATGCAGTGGCGTTTCTAGGAAACATTAGGTTAGTGGACCGAGCAGGTGCCACTGGCTTGGTCCACATTTCTTGGAAATAAGATACCGAACAGTGGGATACAAAATCATATTCATTTCATTAGTTTACAGAACAGTAGGATATAAAACTCTTTTTCATTTCATTAGTCCAATAAGATACAGAACAGTAGGATACAAAATCATATTCATTTCATTAGTTTACAGAACAGTAGGATATAAAACTCTTTTTCATTTCATTAGTCCAATAAGATACAGAACAGTAGGATACAAAATCATATTCATTTCATTTGTTTACAGAACAGTAGGATATAAAACTCTTTTTCGTTTCAATAGTTCAATAATATACAGAACAGTTGGGTATAAAACTCCATTTCATTTCATTAGTCCAATAAGATACAGAACAGTAGGATATAAAACTCCATTTCATTTCATTAGTCCAATAAGATACAGAACAGTAGGATATAAAACTCCATTTCATTGAATTAGTACAATAAGATACAGAACATCAGGATATAAAACTCCATTTTATTTCATTAGTACAATAAGATACAGAACAGTAGGATATAAAACTCCATTTCATTTCATTAGTCCAATAAGATACAGAACAGTAGGATATAAAACTCCATTTCATTTCATTAGTCCAATAAGATACAGAACAGTAGGATATAAAACTCCATTTCATTTCATTAGTCCAATAAGATACAGAACAGTAGGATATAAAACTCCATTTCATTTCATTAGTCCAATAATATACAGAACATCAGGATATAAAACTCCATTTCATTTCATTAGTACAATAAGATACAGAACAGAAGGATATAAAACTCCATTTCATTTCATTAGTCCAATAAGATACAGAACATCAGGATATAAATCCTTTCCACGTAAAACGCAATTTTATTTATAGGTGTATGAAGATAACTGCATGGGGGGCAACCTGTAAACCGTGTGAAAAATACAGAAAGTCTCAACTGTGTGCCAAATATCGACATTGTGTTCATTGTGATGCTGATGGATGTTTGAAATGCAAGAAAGGCTGGTATGGAACATTTTGTAGAGAAGGTGAATGTTCCTCTTGTTTCCAAATGACATACCACGTCTGTGTTTTATTGGAGCAGATTACTCCCAATTTAACGACGTAGGCCGTACATGTTGTTAGCGTAGCGATAAGCGAACACAACGAGGGTCCTGTTTAACCAGTTAAGTTGAATGGTAACGCATTCCCATCATTCAGATCTACGAACTGATCTAGATATCTGAACATGAGCCGCTGGTGGTAATTGCGACTTCTCAGTTGTTGCTTGTTGTGACTGAACTGGATTAGTGGGGACCCATTGATTGGTCCTCCTCACTCAGGAGAACTTTCAGCATATGCCCTCCTTCATTTACTTAAGAGGGTGGTGCCTCCTTAGGGTGGGAACCCGTGGACTTGCTGGTTCAACAAGTCCCTATGTATTTTATATATCATGCCTCCAGAAATTCCTTTTTTTGTTGGTAGAATGTCGGTGTGAAAACGGAGGAAGTTGTGATCACCATGGTGACTGTCAGTGTTTACCAGGTTATATTGGAGGATATTGCCAAACCAAAATTTGTAAGTTGACCACACCGCTGCATTGTGAAAAGAAATTTGAGAGTAGACATTCTCCACCTCCTACCAGTAAAAACCACTGTCGTCCTAGGTATCAGACTTCATATTTGTTGATAGCTATCAGCGGCAAATTATGAGATCAAGCGCAGAAAAGTAGGATATTAAACTCCAATGCAGTCTTTATTAGTGTACTGAAATCTTTAGCACCGATAGTTTATGCTTTCAATGAATACCAGATCTTAATTTTCTTTGAAAAAATAACAATATCCACAAGGTGTTAACAGTCATAATGAGCTTTTATGCCCTAAAAAACTATTGATATAAACGGTACACTTTACTCCAATTTTTAGTTACATCCCACATAATGAAGGACAAACACCTTCCTCACCCTTCTCCCTCTTAGCTATTTCAGTAAAACACTGTAGAGGCCCCGGTATCCCTGCAGATGGCGAGGTAAAGCAGGTTATAGGGCATCCCCCCTCCAATTACATTTGGTATCCAGTACCTGAGAACGACCCACCTCCCCCATATAGCTACAACTCCACCTCAATCCTAAGCTGTCTTACCGTACCTCGTATTTCAGTAAAAGATTGTGGAAGTCCCAATATTCCCGTGTATGGTGAAGTCATACTGACCAATACAACTGAAGGTTCTATAGCCAGTTTTAAATGTCCACCTAATTTTCTATTAATTGGTCAAGTCAACCAGACCTGTTTAGACACAGGACAGTGGTCCGGGAAGGCACCAGTATGTGGTAGGTCAAATAAACTTGTTCAATTCTGACTGGATCTATATGGTACATCTGGAGCCCGACATATAGCTACATTTTTTTCCGATCAGCCAACGAATATCGCGTTTTGAACCATTCTGCATTATCAGAGAATTTAAATATACAATGTTGATGAATATAAAATGGGCGTCTCTTTCAAAGAGTCTGAAAAGCTTATGGCGTGTATTCCGTATTTGGGTTTGACAACTTGACAATATTAATTGGGTATGTCTATTTCAGAATATTCTTGTCCAGTTCCGAAAGTGTCCAGTCATCTTGTGGTCCAGCCAGAGCCAGTAAAACATATGTCTGATGACTATGTTATCAGTACGTACCATGTTTTATACAGTCAGTATTGTTAAAAACTGCGAAAATGACCTGTCGTAGTGTTTGAACTATTTCGGAAATTCAGAAATGCTTTTGATTGACAAATGAAAACAGACGTAAAGCTCCTTTTTTTTCTTAAATATCAGATGTGGAGTTAATACGACAAGTCAGGTTTAGTTGTGAGGAAGATTATGAAATACAAGGGAGACAACTACTTTATTGTTTACCAGACGGCACGTGGGATTCATCTCCACCAATTTGTGGTAACTATCAACCTCGTTTATGTTTTTCTTGTCGCTTGTCTGTTTATATTACGAATGGAATAACAACGTCTTAGAAGTAGCTTGTGGACCAGGATTCAAACTGGCCAAATCACTTTTCAGAATCGGACATCTCCCACGTCACGACTTTGTTACACTGTCCGATAACTCTTTTCTTCTTTCTGATACCAATGGATGTGACCTGACCTCGGTCCTTATATCGTATAGGCCTACTTCCAATTAATCCTTCTGTTGTACTTCAGTCAGAAAATGTAAACCACCACCCCAGGTACGTGATGGAGAAGTCTTAAAAGGTAACTTACGGTCTCTGGAAGGTGATACCATTGAGTACCGTTGCCATGACAACTTTAGAATTGAGGATCATTCGACATTAACTTGTATGAATGGGTCCTGGGACTCCACACCGCCTCGCTGTGGTGAGTGGAATTTTTCAACTTTTTTTTTCACGTGTCATTTACCTTTATACAAAGATCACAAGGATTGGAATTCTGTCTACCAGCTGGTCCTTGGCCCAACCGCCCGAGCAATGACATTACAATGATTACAGCTTTGAATCTCGAGCATCCCAGCAGGTTCTCGGTCAGATCTCTTGGCAATTATTTTACAAGGTTAACAACTTAGGTCGGCCGGGGTCCACATGAGATCTTCTTCTCAAGGACCTTTTTACAGATTACCTTTACTCATGCAGTTGGGTAGGCAGTGAGGAAGGATGACTTATTCAGTACCCATTTACAGTTGGGTAGACTAGAATTATGAGGAAAGATGACTTATTCATTACCCATTTACAGCTGGGGCGACTGGAATTATGAGGAAAGATGACTTATTTAGTACCCATTTACAGTTGGGGCGACTGGAATTATGAGGAAAGATGACTTATTTAGTACCCATTTACAGTTGGGTAGACTTGAATTAAGAGGAAGGATGACTTATTTAGTACCCATTTACAGTTGGGTAGACTAGAATTATGAGGAAAGATGACTTATTCAGTACCCATTTACAGTTGGGTAGACTAGAATTGTGAGGAAGGATGACTTATTACCAATGAAGCTGCTACGCACTTTATTTAATTAACCCAATCAGACGCAAGACTCGGGCGTAAAACTCTTGTTCTATATCTAATTCCAGTGCCAAAGATTCAGTGCGATCAGCTGGAAGCAGAGAACGGACATATTACATACAGTGACAATGACAGAATGGTGGGGTCGGAGGCAATCTTGAGGTGTTACTCGGGCTATATTAAAAGCTCTAGTGACGACTACAAGGTGTGTGGACAGGATGGACAATGGAAAGGAGAAAAATTCGAGTAAGGGTCATTTTCGAAATTCTGAATCCTGTTTTTGTGTCTATGGTTTTTAAGCAATCATTTTCAATATGCGACCACTATAAAGTCCCCCCTACAACTTTCCAATATTATTAACGACTGGTTAGCCGGGACCGTGTCAATTCCGTTGAGAAACAGATTTCATGGACATGTCTCGAGGTCTGATGAAAAGCTAGAGGTGTGTCAAAGTCTGATCGAGACATCTACTTTGTTGATCTTACTTGTTCATATTTTTATATTTGACCCCAGATGTGTTGAAAAAGAAGAAGAAGTAATGTTGTGTGATGAACATGATGGTCCAGAGCATGGTGGAGTTGACGAGTGGTCAGAAAGGTTGGTTACTACACCACGGCATTTCCTAGTAGTCTTCATTGAAAGAGCTATCTAAAAGCTATTGCAGCGTTACCAATATACAATATATCCATAGTTTTATAGTTCAAAACGTGGACACATCTCGGACTGTAATGGCAGCAGATGACGTTGTTCTTCCAGAAGATCGGAACAGTAATGGAGTCGACCAGATGTTGTACCGTTTCTTGATCGTGGAGACGTGTCTGTCAGTCGGATTCATTAGCTCAAATTAAACATGATATGCACGACTTAAAACTCCACCTTCCTTCTAAAGCTCAATGTAATTTTATTTCATTCCCCGTGCTTTTTTTTACTCCTTTTCGTTGAGTTTTTATAAGTTAATATTTCTTAAAGTATGTCTGATACAATGAGTGCTGTCGTATTCTCGAAACGAACTTAGCGCTAGGATATCATAGAAACAGTGTTAGAAGTTAAGACCCTAGGATATCCTAGAAACAGTGTTAGAAGTCAAGACCTGGGGATATCCTACCGCTAAGATCGTTTCGGGAATACGCGGCCTGATCTGCTCCAAAAAGGGATCAAACTTATTCAGTCCCATGTATTTCCCTGTGGCTCCACAAGACGAGTTTGTTCTCGTTCTACTTGGTGCTTCATCCTCGTTAGTCGATTACGATTAAGAAACTTAAGGCGTTAAACTCCATTCCGTTTCTTTCAGTCACTATGAATATATATGTGAAGAGGGATATTTTATCTCTGGCGAAACTCAGAATTATTGTATCGATGGGGAATGGATTCATGACATTCCAAAATGTGTTCAAAGTATGTTTTAAACCATTGTTCTCATTATTTCTGAGTGAGCTTTGGGGGGGGGGGGGGGGGGGGGGGGGGGGGGGGGGGGAAAAAAAACCAAAAAATTTTTTTTTAAAGGGGGTTTTAAAAAAATTTAAAAAAGGGGGTTTTTTTTTTAAAAAAAGGGTTTAAAAGTTTTTTTTAAC